AATGAAAAAGCCAAATGTCCATTAATAGGGACTTGTTAAATTAACTATAGTACAGCCATACAACTGAATGCTATGTACTCATTTTATTTTATTTATTTTTTTATTTTTATTTATTTATTTATTTATTTGAGACAGAGTCTTGCTTTGTTGCCCTAAGCATGTGGCACATGCCTACAGTGATGCATGACATCAGCCTAGCTCACAACAACCTCAAATCCCTCGGCTCAGCAATCCTATTGCCTCAGCCTCCCAATTAGGTGACTATAGGCATGTGCCACCATGCCAGCTAATTTTTTTCCTATATATATCAGCTTGGCCAATTAATTTCTTTCTATTTATAGTAGAGATGAGGTCTCGCCTAAAGATCAGCCTTTGAAAATAAAGGTTTTGTGCCTCCAAGAACATAATTCCCAGCTTCCGTTCCTTTGCCAAGTAAAAACCATTTCTAGCAATAAAAAAAAAAAAAAAAAGATAACACCTCTGAGATTCTCCACTCAGTTTTTCACTCTGTATTACTAAGGTTTTCAAAGAACAAGAAGTCATCACAATTTAAGATTTACTGGAAATCATTATTACAGTCAATCAATGACAGAAATTGGGGCTTGTCTCTCCATGATAACTTCCAGAGGCAGTCTTTTGTTTTCTGAGCTACTAGAGCATCTCTCTGTTCACTGATACAAGTCAATAAAATGAGAGCAACGCTATAAGTTGCTGCCAAGTGCCTGCTACGAATTGAACGGAGCGTAGCACTCGGGTCTGTCTGTGTCATCTATTGCTCTGTAACGTCATTGCCACAAACTTAGCGGCACGAAACAGCTTGCGTTTATTATCTCACAGTTTCTGGGAGGCTGGAGTTCAGGCACAGCTCAACCGAGTGCTCTGCAGAGCTGCAAAGTCTTGGCCAAAGTAGTGGTCTCATATCAAGGTTCGACTGGGGAAGAATCTGTTTTAAGCCCACACGGTTGCGGTAGCTGCGGTTTCTCGCTGACCGTCAGTGGGGGCTTCCCCTCATCTCCTTGCCACGTGGCCCCGTCCAGAGAGCAGCTTGCTGGACAGCAGTTTGCTTCCTCAAAGCCAGCAGGGGAGAGACTCTCTCCGCAAGTCAGACACGACAATCTCACGTGACTTAAAATAACAGAAGCGACAACCTGTCACCTTTGCCATATTCTGGTTCAAGGCAAGTCACAAGTCCTGATCAGGCAAGGGCAGGGGCTCACTCGAGGATGTGAACCAAAGATCCACACTGCTACTCTGCCGGGCACACTGCTCGGATACTCTCCAGTGGGGACATATTAATACTTGTCTCTAGGAATGTAAGTGTGAGTATGTGGAGGTCCCTCCATGGGCCAACGGACGTTGTCTGACATGAGCGGTGACACAAAGAATAATGAGGCATGGTATTCAAGACATGTACAATCCAGATGAAAACTTCCCTACAGTCTTACCCAAGAGAGGGTGAGGGAGTGTAAACGTAAAAGGCATAGTGGACAGCTCTTGTCCACCATGCTTGAAGTTTTAAATAATCAATATGCACTATTTGTGTGACAATAAAAAAATATTTTTTTTAATTACCTACAACTGGGAGCATAAGCTAGGAGTTAAGAGTAGATATCCCTTATCCTACCTTCTGAAATGGAATCCCAAATGTCCTTTGTGAACCCTCCCACCCCCACCCTCAACCCTCCCACCCCTTCTCAACCATAAACTTTGGGCGGGATTGATCCAACCTTTTCTCCAGATATGGGCCTGTATCCACCACCAGCCAATCAATTTATCCCATACTTTTTCCCCTACAGTGATTGGTTCATGATTGAGGCAGCAACCCAACCAAAGGAGATGTTTACTGTGGTTTTGGGGAAGGAAAACTCCCCTCTGGAGGAAGGTTCCAGAAGAGTCTCTTATTTTCTACCAGTGCTGTCTTGTAGAAATATGTGAGCCTCATATACAAATTTCAATTTTCTAGTAATCACATTTCGAAAAGCAAAAATAAAAAGGTAAAGTTAATTTTAATAATATATTTTATTTAGCCCAATATATAGCCAAAATATTATTACTTCAATGTGATAATGTGTACTTAGTATAAAAATTATTAATAGACATTTTACATTCTTTTTTTTTCATACCGAGTCTTTGAAATCCGAGATGGATATTTTATATCTATAGCACTTCTCAATTCAGACTAGCCACAGTTATCAGAACCACATGTGGCTAGTATCTGCTATGTAGCCCTGGACACTACAATCTGAGGATACGAAACTAGATCTGCTATACCCATTTTGACACCGCAGGTATGTGGGAGAGGGCGAGTTTAGAATGAAAATGACATCTAAGAGGGAAAAAAGAACTAGAAATAAACTGGGTCCTCCCTGATATTGTTTGAGTCACTAGATCAAGCTTTACGTTAAATCAGCATGATGTCAGAAGCTCTTAGTTATGTGAGCCAATAAGTTAGTTCACTTTACTATTTAAATTTATTCAAGTTGAAATTTATTTTCTTTTTTTCTTTTTATTTTGAGATAGAATCTCACTCTGTTGCCTGGGCTAGAGTGCCATGGTGTCAGCCTAGCTCACGGCAACCTCAAATTCCTGGGCTTAGGCGATCCTCCTGCCTCAGCCTCCCAAGTAGCTGAGACTATAGGCACATGCCACCACACCCAGCTCATTCTTGTATTTTTCGTAAAAACAGGGTCTCGCTTTTGCTCAGGCTGGTCTTGAAATCCTGACCTCAAGCGATCCTCCCAGAGTGCTAGGATTACAGGCATGAGCCACTTGAGCCACCTGAGGCCTGGCCTCAAGTTGAAATTTCTATCACTTCCAATAGAAGAATCTCAACTGACACTGAGAGTGAGTAATAAGATAAAGCAATTGATTAAATGCCAAAACTGAAAAATGGACAGTTAGCATCAAGTGTGCAGAGAAAGGAGAAATCAACTTGGGTATCACAGGGTTTCTCACCCGTAGCACTGTAGCCATTTGGGGCTGGATAATTCTTCATTTCTGAGGGGCTGTCCTGCACATTATGGGATATTTAGCAACATCCCTGACCTCTACCCTCTAGATGCCAGCAGCAGCCTCTACCTCTAGTTATCACAACCAAAATATTGCCAAATGTCCCCAGTTGAAAGCCACTGACTAGATTCTTCCAGAATCCGGAAGAATCTGGAAGAATCGGTGGGATGTATTTACATGGGAAAGGCATTTCCAGTAGAGGGAATGACATGAATAAAGAAACCAGGCAGGGCCGGGCGCTGTGGCTCACGCCTGTAATCCTAGCTGGCCCATGTGTGTGCATTGTAACATCCTTCCGCTCTTAACTTACAAAAATCTTCAGGCCGGGCGGAGGGCTCACGCCTGTAATCCCTAGCACTCCTGGGAAGGCCGGTGGGCTGAATGCTGAGTTAGGAGTTCGAAACCAGCCTGAGAAAGAGCGAGACGCCCGTCTCTCTATAATACAGTCAGAATAAATTAATGCCAACTAAAATATAAGAAAATAGCCGAGCATAGTGGCGTACTGCCTGTGTCCCAGTACCGGAGCGAGCAGAAGATCCGCTTGAGCCCATTGGATTGTGTTTGCTGTGAGCTAGGCTGACACCATGGCCACTGCCACTCTGCCGCTTGGGCAAACAAAAGCGGACCA